AAGTCTAGCAATGGAACTCGGAAACTTCCCAATTAAAGTCACTTCAGGCGTCCTCCAAGGCTCTCATTTGAGACCTCTTCTTTTTATTATATAGATAAACAACTTCCCAAGCAACACACATGTTCTATAATGGTTTATATAACCTTTGTATGACTGATTTTGGTTGTAAAGCAGATTACTCAACATAATTCTATGAATTTGTGTTATTTGAGTTCTTTCATTCTCAAAAAACTAAAATTGCTAATCTATGCCAACGATATGAAGCTTTTGTTGGAAATAAGAAATGAAGCAGGCATCAATATATTCCAGAATGAAAGAACCATATTCTACGTATGAAAAAAAAATCCTACTTGAATTGATAATAAAAAATGCAACTAAATATTATTTAGCGGAAAAAGAACAACAACAAACATTTCAATTGCATTAACTTGCTAACTATCATAGACCATTACAACACAATCATCCACATGACAAATAACATGCTAGGCTTTATCAAGCGCTTTTGCTACAAATTTCAGGACCCATACACAATTAAAACACTATATATTGCCTATGTGAGGTCAATACTGGCCTATTGCAGTATTTTATGGTCTCCTTTTACAATCACGCACGAAGAAAGATTAGAATCAGTACAAAAACAATTTCTATTATACGCCCTTCGTTAATAAGGTTGGACATCATTTCCTCTTCCACCATATGAAGCACGCTGCATGCTTTTAAACATATAAACATTAAAAGAGCGTCGTGAATATGCAATGGTTTCATTTGTAAACGATATCATTTCACAGCGGATTAACTCAACAGAACTTTCTTCAAAATTAAATTTCCATGCACCTACTCGGCAACTCCGAAATCGAAATTTATTTGCCATAAATCATCATCGCATAAATTATACAAAATAAGGGTCATTACATTGCATGATGGCCCTTTACAATCAATTCTGCGCAATCTTTGACTTAACAATGTCTTGGCATAAACTAATCTCCATACGGAATTATATCTCATAAGATGAAAAATAGGAAAGCAGACACTGCTAAATTTTTATTTAAGATAAAATTGTACTATTTACTTGTTCTTTCAAAGTTTTTTTTTTATATTTAAGAAAAAAAAAACACTGTACATGTATTTGTACTGGTCTACGATGGTTGATGAAATAAATAAATAAAATTGAAATTTATGCAGTAAAAATTAAAGTTTTGCTGTGGGAAACTCTTCAAAGAAATTTCTTTACAAACAAGAAATATATACTCACCTAACACGTTGAACGTATGATAAATTAGAGTTTGAAAAGCATATTCCCATTTCTGTCACGACTGGTAAATAGTCACTAGTAGGTATAAATTCAAATTTAACATTCCGAGCTACTTTCAGCATATTAACATTGGTCAAGCTACTGTCGCCTTGGAAAGGTTCAAATGAATGTAAATTATTGAACGTCGCATTGGTTATGGTGATCAAATATTGACTATAGTAGTGAAATTTCTCATCTTGATCATCGATCTTCCAAAGTCTAAACAATAAAATGTTATTGTAACACACAGTTCCATCAAATATTTGCCACTTACTTGTAAACCATTTCTTTTAACCGATTTTCATCAATGTGCATGGGACACACCGTAACCGCTGGTCTTCGATAGATCCATCTTCTGTAGTCTGTCTCTAGAGTCAGCACGGTTGGACTTTCTTGATATCGTGTCCATGTAGTTAAACAAACACCATAAGAGCAGTAAATCGAAAATATCAAAATGTTGGCCCATAATAACCTTTCCGTCCAATGCCGATTTTCTGCAACTAAGTGCGCCAAACCATGCACAGAAGATTCCTCAGCACAGGTATGGAGTAATTTCATGTTCGATTTAAACTCTCACCGTCCGTTAGCCACCAAAGCGTAAAGGCATGTAAATTGAACCACGTTCTGAACAGAACTATTATGAACTTAACAACAAACGGATGTGTTCAGGTGCAATTTACTTTGATGCATTTACACAAAAATAAAACCTATTTGCTTAAGCATCATTTCAGATTGGAAAAAAATCTTGCGTCATTTTGTATAAAATAGCAAACGGAATGTAATTACGAGAACTTTTTGCAATCTGAAATGATGCCTCGAAAAAAACTGGGTTTGATTTGTTGGACATCACACCAAAGAAAATTGCACCTTAAACATTGCAAATCCGGTAGCCTTGTCCGATGATTGTATGATAATGGATGAGCAGTGTTCAAGGTGAAAGGGGGAAAACAAGTAAAACCCATTCATGAAGTAATCGCGTGAACAATCAAAATAGACAACGGCATCATATAATTATGTTGATATAGATTTAGTTTCACACAATAAATTTATTTATTTTTCGTCTTTTTCTTAATGACTATTACTTCCTAATTGAAACTTTACGCCAACTTACAACTAATGTTCTTTCAGTACTTTAACAATTGTTGATGGATTGCCGTATTCACTTTTCTAGGGGCCAAAAATTATCCAAAAAGCAACTATTCTAATGAATCCTGATGAATGTGGGCGTCTTAGTGGAATACCTGTATAATGAGAGAGAGGAGGATTAGTATTTTCCATTTAATTCCACTACTTTATTTGCTTATCCTTGACAGATACGCGTATTTCGTCTAGAATGTGCAGACTTCTTCAGTGTCTTGTACTAATACTCGACTCTAGAGTCAGTATTAGTACAAGACACTGAAGAAGTCTGCACATTGTAGACGAAATACGCGTATCTGTCAAGGATAAGCAAATAAAGTAGTGGAATTAAATGGAAAATACTAATCCTTCTCTCTCTCATTAAACTATTCTAAAATTTCATGTACAGAATAAAAATAGAGAAAAAATTAACAAGGCAAGTTTTGTAATCAGAAATGTCATCAAGCCTGCCAAACAAAAAGTAACTAATTATGTTAAAACTTATTTTATCTAGAATTCTACATCTAAATAATATACTTTTTTACTAACGACACCTGCTGTAAAAAGTCTAAGTCAGATTTTAGCAACATACAATTTTAGGCACAAATTTTAATAAATGTTAGCCTGATTATTTCATCACGTTCAAAGCTTCCCAATCATCCAGACAGTATAGGAAAATATTAGATAGTGTTTAAAGCTTTCAAGTGCAAACCACAATCAAATTAATGACAATGGAGACGTGTTGTCAAAATCGGATCCACGTTGAATTCCATAGAGAGTTTTCTGCGGCACCTGGCAGAGTGAATTCGAGTGACCAGGTGGACAAAAGGATCTTATTAATAATTACACTAACAATGTCGATATTTGATTACGCAGCAATTAACAATTGCCTCTCCACTCGTTTTACAGCGAAGTGTTTATCAACATATTTAGAATCTCATCACGGTATTAGTTTTTCAAAATATTTCCCCATTTTGAGATTTGACTTATGTAAATGATGTTTTGATGAAATTAATCAATGTATCGTTTGTGAATTACTACACAATTCGAAAAAGTAGTGCAAATATCTGTTCAACATGATACACGTGAATGGAGCGCCACATATCATCTAAGTTTACAGTCGTGTAAAGCTATAAGATATTTTATGAAATGTTGCAAATATTGTATACAAAAGCCCATCTTTACAAACAACATTGCTTACAAGTTGCTCGTTTCAATTTCCAATTAATGTTTATTCAAGACATTAACAAAGAACACGTTAGGTTCTCCACTTAACCTTCCTAATGCAACAGGAAAAATCTAAAGTTCATGAACTCTCAGACAGCTTCGCAGATTCATACATTTAAAATAGCTGAACCTTAAAATTTATATTTTTTTGAGTTTTCAGGAATATTTATAGAAATTTCACTAAACAATATCTCAATGATAAATTAAAAGACACATAATATCAGCAATCCATCCTTATTTTTCTGTATGCATTTTTTTTAAGCTTAAGAACATAATATTATCTCAGGATCTCAAACGCATATTTTTCGTTTCCTTGCTTCCACCACTTCGATGGAAGCCCAAGGTGATGTTGATTTGTTGAACTTAAAGTGTGTCCATTCTATCTGCTGTAGATGATACCTGCATTCTTCCGTTGTTTTCCTTCCACTTCCTTACTCCATTTAATATATTGAAAATTATCTTAATGTTGACATTGTATAGTCCATGAACTATGTTCCCGTTTTCGAGAACAGCTTCGCGATATCAAGAACAACTCATGAACATAAATCATCGTTTCCCATAACTAGGGCATGACTTCCAGAACAGGGTTCACGATTCTATAAATTTTATTACTTTTGCTGGTGCCCGCTGGACCATAACGCAGGCGTTTCATTTATTTGGTGAAGCAATGTTCACGATTTTATGATTTTTATTTATGCTGTATTTTCGTAAACGAAAAATCAACTTGTTCCGGAATTCATAACTTGAGGTTCACGAATTTCGGACCGAATTTTTTCCCGTGTATGCGTGTAAAAAGAAATCGAATTATGCATGATTAAGTTATTTGATGGATACATCCATCAAAACCAGGGTTGATAATCGATAACCGTTGATAACGTCAGCGTTAACTTTTGCAATAATAAATTTGCATTGCATACGTTAATTCAGACGTTAGCGACGGTTATCGATTAACAACCCTGATCAAAACAAGGAGAAAAGTGTCAAGTTGCTCCTATGTCTCAATTTGAAATTTTGGTATCACCTGTAAGTAATATAACATAACAAGATGACCTTCTAGATACGTTTTGAAAGACTAGTAACTCAAACTGTATGTTCGTGTCCATTCCATTGCAAGTCTCTGTACAACAATTCACGAGACTGGTTGAGCGCCAATGGTGGTAACTCGTTCTCCTCAAATTTCCGCCTGAGCAGTACCAACCAGTACAGAGCTAGTAGACTCACTGAACGGTTCAAGTGAATGAAACAAGCTGATCCACCGCGAGACGCGAAAGACTCACACGTGTGTAAAGCTCAGCTTCGTTTGTAAAGCACTGTAACTAAGCTCGCGCAAACAATTTTCCATCAGGTTCAGTTTCATCGTAAACACCATCGAGTAAAGACGTAGGTACCTGTTCCATTGAGATCACTATCCCCTCCCATCACTCGTGCAGCGATTGATCTTTCAGTTTCGCGTAGAACATACTTGTGGTCGTGGTTCTGCTCCAGACGATTTCTGGCGGTCCAAGACGCAGGCGGTTCAGTGTGCGCATTGCTCAAAACACCTTGAAGGCTTCCAGCGAAAAAGAGAAAAAAAATCTGTGCTCGTTCAACTAGTTTGGCAATTGAAATTGCTCGTTGCAGTTGCAATAAGTGCTTCTCAAGACGGTGAAGTTTTATGAGATACAGTCATATAAGAAGCGAATGCTGCCAAAGCTTAAAGCACGTTTAATCAAATAGTTGTGAGGCGAGTCAATAGTTAGGTTGGTGGTGCACACTAAGTGTGTAAGAAGTTCAAGTCGTTTCTTAGAAAAAAAAAGCGCAATAAGTGAAAGTTATCTAATATCACAAAACGTGTGCTGGACGGTGTGACTTTTACAACTTGATGCATGTGTAGTGTTCGTGTACACGTTTGTTGGTCGTGAATTGAAGCTAATTAGCAACCGTGGTTTTTTGTGTGGTTTCAGGTGAACAGTTCTATTTGAAGAAGCAATAAAATTCAAACGTAAGTGTTCGAAAAATTATTTAAGTCTGCTATATAACCTCTTAATATCTTTACTAAGTTACTACTCTTTAAGGGGAAACAAACTAATTTTATAACTTCTAGATAAAACAAGGTTAAATCTCACAAAAACAGCATGTGAATGATAATTGACCTTATGTCTTTGCGTAATAAACCTCGCAAGTGTAATAAACGACGAAGAACCTACATAAAAGTCTAACCAAGCAACAATCATCGCATGTGAAGGGAAATATTAACTAAGTCTATTTCAACGCTTCGCTGAAACTTCTACCGTCAAGTCAGTCTTAAGAAATACCTGTTTTTCATTATTCTATCACGTTTGGCAAACCATCTAGCACATAAATCACCACTCGCTCTTTGGAAAACTTGCCAAACTATTCAGCAACGGCGAGGTAGCGTGCGTATTCTGACCCGCGACATTTCGTCATCGAAAAAATAATAAGCACACAATGTCATTTGAGGCGATTTTAAAGATTCTTTGGCTGAGATTGCCATCTGTTCTATATATCTGCCAATCCTGTTTGGATACGAAATCATACACTCAAAAGATGAGAAACAAAAATAACTGGTTTTGCAAGCGAGTGGTGACCACGTGATGACGATCTTGCGATTGGAAATTTCATAAGATTGCTAATTTGTATTTCTCCATAATGGTAAACAATATTCCTCTTCCTCCACTTCTGGTTTCTATTGACCCTGAGTAAGATTGGTCAAAATTTATTCAATGTCTCAAGGCACTTCCGCGGGCGAATCATAAAAAATATATGCAAATGTTCAATGCTACGCGAAATTCAATTTGCTTTTGATTTCGGCGGAACTAGTTTATTAGCAAAAAAAAAAATCAAAAAAGCATAAAAACAGTTCTTCCGAAATTTCTGACATTTGTTGCTTCAATCCTTACCTGATATTGTGGCTTGTATTCAATAACATAATAGCGATGGCTTAAATCGATTGAAAAAACTGCTGATGCTGAAGGGGGCTTAAGGTATTTAAGGAAGGATTACCGGACATTTAAGGTGTGAGCATGCTTGGCATGCACAGTTTTCACAGCAAAAAAATAATTTTGATATCACATCAAAGTGGATGCACTACAATCATGTCGAAAATTTCATGTAATTTTTATGACCACATAAATAAACAAATGCAGTAAAAGCAGCGTAATGTCAGTTCATGCATTGTATCAATGATCATTTTGTCCTTTTTAGCAAGTAATATTACACCATATTTTCGACATGATTGTAGTGCATCCACTTTGACGTGATATCAAAATTATTTTTTTGCTGTGTTGGTCACGAACTGCTCATTTGCTAATAACTTTGCACACAGTTGACGAAACATAGTTCTTTTTGAAGCAGTAGATAGAATAGAGTTTAAGCCTGTAATAAATACCTAGAAATATGTAGATATTAATTCTATTAATAAACTGTATTTATTTTTGCGTTGTAAAAATGAAGTGAGAAACGCTCGCTGCACATCTCGGACTTTAAGTGTAAAAATTCATTGTTCTTGATTCAAATGTTAAGATTTACCTACTCTTTGCATATCTATAGTAAACTGTGATTCTTATCTATAAATTACTTTAAAGAAAAGCAAATTTCAACAACTGAGTGAAAAGTTATTAACAAATGAGCAGTTGGTGTGTACAACTGTGCATGCCAAGCATGGGCGTGAGATTTAACGTTTAACTTTTTTTTTACGTTCCATGAAGCTCCAAATTTGTCCCTTGTAGCGGATTTTTGTACATGGTAGCCGTCATTTATGCATCTTTCCTAAGAAAACATGTTTTCTTCGGAATTTTTAACGGTTCCTCCACAGATAAACAAGTAAAATCTGAATTAATTCACACTTTAAAAAAAAATCGTGTAAATTTAGGTGCTTTGAGAGGGACACATACGAGCATCATTTTTAACATAAATTTAAGTCATAACAGACGCGAAATATAGCTCAATCAAACGTACTTTTCGTCGAGCAACGAACTTTTCAGTCTCGGAGCACTTAATTTTACATAACATGTGTTTTTACGTCTCATACTTTGTGTCAAAGATGGATTCCGTCACGTGTAAAATTAGTTATTTCTAAGTGTATACTTACTCTTAGAAATTCCGACAAAAATGATCATATGATATAATGTGATAAATAAAATCTCATATGATTAGAGATATCGCATGATGAATTTTGACCCTAGTCAGAAACTGGCCACTTCCCCTGGGGTACCCGTAACAAGGCCGGCTAGTGTGATCCTGGGCACTCTAAATGACTGAGTTTGAACTGGTTTTTGAATGCTTATATCATTTGATGTGTCGCATGATAACTTTTGAACCTTATCAGAAACTGGCCTGGGGAGACCCGGAACATATCCAGATGTTACCAATGTAGTCCTTGGAACTAGATATGACTAGCATTTACCCTTTTATTGAATTCTCATGTGATTTGAGGTCTCACGTGATGGGTTTTAACCCTAGTCAGTAACTGGCCACTTCCCCGGGGGTAACCGGAACATGTTCTGGCCATATCTACGAAACCAGTAGACCAATTCAAAAAATAAGGAACTATATAACCTTTCATTTGGCGGTTTTTGACTCCAATTCGGATCAGTGATTAGCAAGAAACATGAATCACAATATTTTGTTACACAATATACCCCATCCTAGGGCCATCATGATCATTTTTTTCAATTTTTGTGGTTCCATCTAGGTCCCAAACAACTGTGCAAAATTTGGGCATGATTGGTTGTAGCCCTGCTTTCCGCATTGCGTTTGAAAATTATATGGAAATTAGTAAGGGAAAACCTACTTTTTTGCATCTTTATTTCTAGGGTAACAATTTTTCTTGAACCACGCATCTAATCATGTAAAATTATAGTACAGAAAGTGCCAAACAATTTTTACCATACAAATATGGTGCTAGAAAGCCTCTAAAAAAAGTTATAGCTGTGCAAAAATCAATGTTTCGAATTAAATGCCAAAAATCACTTTTCCTGCCACCACTGCCGGTGTACCAATGATAGTTAGACTCCTGACATTATTTCGAAGTTGATTAACTTATCGGTTTGGTATGTTCAGATGAATTATTCAAAAATAATGGATCTATCTCATATGCGTAGTTGGATAGAGTTAGAGGGGTTTACTACACCCCCCCACGCCCACCTCACTCATATCAATTGAAGTAAAGTTTAAAACTGAAATAACTTCGAAGTTTCTTATCGATTTGGTATGTTCAGATGAATTAGTCAAAAACAATTTTTCAATTTTATAGGCATAGTTAGAGAGAATGAGAGGGGCTTATTATACCGCCACCCCCCTCGCTCATATAAATGGAAGAAAAGCTTCAAACGGAAATAGCTTCTGTGTTTCTGATCTTGTCAAGTTGGTATGTTTAGATGTATTCAAAAACATTTTCTCCATTTAATAGGCGTAGTTAGATATGGGGGTGGGTTAAGTGTACACCCCTCACTTATATCAATGAAAGTAAAGATAAAGACTGAAATAACTTCAGAGTTTCCCATCTCTCGAGTTTTCGGATGGGTTATTCAAAAATATTTGCTCAATCTCATAAGAGCAGTTTGAAAATTTGTATCTCACTCCTCTTTTGGTATAATATACAATGTCAGACGTATTCACACAAATGTCATTGGATTGTAATGATTATATTTCAGTTTAATATATTCTACGATTTCTCAGGGTTCTCTTTTCGATGTTGTTCGATCACCTGAAGCAAATATTGCTGTTGGATTGGGTGTCGGGTGGATTTCTTGATAAATTCAGAAATTAGCTTCACACCTCGTTCAGCCACATCTTTGACAACCATCAAGGAAGCAACTCGTTGTATCGCATTGAAATAATGTGTATAATTACTCCACTCGTTTGCCGGTTTTCGCAAGTCGGTCGAAATTTCGAAAAAGCAATCAACACTGTCAGAAATGACGTTCGACTTGGAAGCCCAACTAGAAAACCCAATAAGCGACATCCGACTGTACCTGTTTAATATTTCAAATTAATGCTTTACATTAAAATAGAAAAGGCATTAAAAACCCGATAAATAGCCGCTTTGCTACACACGCAGTAACTAGGAACAAAAAAAAATAAATGTGTAATTTTCAATGGCAGTGCGTAGTACATCTACCCTAGTAAATAGTGATATTCGACCAGGTATTCTGCGTTAACATCTATTTTTTTTAATAATAACTTATATTTGGCCATTTAATGTTGCTTTTGCTAATTAATACATCCTTTTACACAATACAGTTTATTGGAAAAAAAAATTGTAAAATTGGTTTACTTAACTGTAGTAAACCATCTGACCTGGGCCCAGGTCAAGGCAAAAGCGAGCAGATACCTAATAATGTAGTAATGCAAGGAGAAGATTGATGAAGAGAATCGATCATCACAGTTAGGCCTTATGATTTTGAACGCTAGATTTGTAAGTTTTTGAATGCATCACAAGCGTCCTGTGGTTCTAACAGCTCTCAAGTTAGTGTTATTTAAAGAATTTGTATAATGTGTGGCAAGTACAATGGTGTTCTGTGCCTGAAAATTGCCGACCCAAAAGATTTTCTAAACCACCTCTAGCTTGGTAATACAATAATATGTCTTAACTGTATGGACTAGCTGAGACCTAATACGAGTCATTATCAATAAATAATTTTATTCGATATGGATAGAAAATTTTCAGTCACTTATTGAAATGACAATGGCTAATTAGCTGCAGTCAAATATTGTATTGATTTATCCTGTATTATATATCACGATTCCAGCATCAAGCAGCTACCATTCTACGATTTGTTGCTACTACGTATTGTCATTATCATGGTCAGAAATCACGCCAGACGTGTTCATCCGGGGGGCCTCATAGCCTAGTCAGTAAAGGCACGGTATTACCAAGCCGGAGATGGCGGGTTCGATTCCCGGTCCGGTCGAGGATCTTTCGGGTTGGAAATTTTCTCGACTTCCCTGGGCATAGAGTATCACTGTGCTTGCCATACA